TATATATATATATATATATATATATATATATATATAATTGATTTGATCCAATCAGATCAATAATTGAGATTAAAAGAGGAAGAAGAAACCAGATCAATAATTTGATCCAATCCATTTACGATTCTCTTCTCACATTGGTTGGATTCCTAAAACAAGAAGAAACCAGATCATGACTTTTGTCGGACATGTCAAGTCAGATTGGCTTGCTCTTGGGATGATAATGACAATTAGTACAAGGTAATTGGCTTGCTTTCCATATGATAGTGACAATTGACATCAATGATAGAACATGCTTCATACACCCCACCATACTTCCCACCATGACCAACTTGATCATAATTGTTCCATTAGTTAGTCATGGTCAATATGCCATAGTAAATGAGAAAGCCATCATCCCTGCTACTACCAACCATAATGATGAGAAACATATGTCACGATTAAAAGAAAGAACATCACATAGCTTTTCGACAAATCCTTTCCTTTCACGAGGAAAATTATAATATGGCTGTCTGTATTATAGCCACAAAATGATTACACGCGAGAAAGAGAGTTGACAAGAAAGTATTTTTATTTCACTCAATATTTTTCACCAAAATAATATCTTCGATCACATCTTCAAACCACCATGCATGGACAAAGCTTCTAATGATCATGAATGCTCTCTCTATCTCTCCGTATATTCGATTAGTCATCCTTTGTTCTCATCAGCAAAAGTATACATGAAGAATCGTTCACTCCAAGTAGCCTCCACATAGTTTTGTCCCTTAACACCAAAATATTCCTCAAAGGTGTCTTTCGTTAGGTTTTGTTCTCTTAATCCTCGATCGATTTGAAACTAAATGGATTCATCAAATACGTTCGAATTCGCGAGACAGCAGTGGAGAAACAATCATTGCTAGGTGAACATGGATTTTGTGGAGTAAAACAGTCTGATCGATCAGTTCTTTTATGACAAATGTAAAAGTATTTCTGCATCTGAACCTTTGAAGTATATATATGTATATGGAGGCTCAGATGGAGGTGATATCTGTTGAATCAACGCCCCATCATTCAACTTAGAAACCAAGGAAAGGGGAAGGACGCATCCTTCATCAAGTCTCCCAACTCCCACTGCGCCACTCTCATGTTCTCACCCTCCCAAAACACTCCACCACCATCACTCACATCAACGCCACTCGTATCGTTCATGGCGTTCTCTTCTTGACTGCTCTCGAGAGGGGGCACGAACAGCTCGCATCCTGCACCCATGAGGCCTCCCTTCACCATCGCCATCTCCATGCCAACTTGAGCTAAATCTTGTGGTTCGTGGAAGTAGGAGTCTTCTACTCTGGTCACGCCACAACCTGCGGCGCCGGGAAGGGGCAGGAGGTCGTACTGGTTCCCTACAGAGAAGCCATGCACGGACGAGGAAGAAGAAGACGAAGGTGGTGATGAGTGCGTGTACACGGACTGCCTCTGGTGCTCCTTTGCACCGGCGAAGCTTCCAATTGCTGCTTTGGGATTTGGATCTCCGGTGTTGGTTGAGTTCTTTAGCCTCTTCTTGATGGTGGAGTTCCAAAAGTTCTTGATCTCGTTATCAGTCCGCCCAGGCAAACGTGACGCAATCTGAGACCACCTGCAAGAGCACTGGATTACGCGAGAACGAGCATGTTAAGAAAAAAATGCTCTGATAGGAGCAATCTATGTTTTATCGCTAACCAAAGAACGCCATGCGACCCTTATATTGAAATGGTTCGTGCATATATTTCACGTAATAGTGATAATTGCCGACAATTCAAGATATAATCAAATTCTATCGAGCAACATTACGTTAACAAAACCGACCTCCTTGTTTCTTAGAATGTTTCCGTAAGCACGAGAAAGCTTTTATGTTCATCCGCATTGCCGTGCATGCATAGGTGTACTCATTTTATCTGGTCACATATATAAGAGCTGAAATCTTTAAAGATTGTGATTATTTATAACTTAATATTTAATCGAGCTTAAACTTCTGTATATGGTAATATTATCTTAACAAAGTCAATCGACCTCCTCCTCGTTTCTGAGCATGTTTGTATAAGGATCAGAGAGCTTTACCTTCATCCGCATTGCAATGCACGACAAACATGATGTAGATGATGTAGCGAGAGAGATGAGAACCTGTTGCCGAGGATGGAGTGCAGGTGGGCGATGAGCTCTTCTTCTTGGGGGGAGAACGCGCCGCGCTTGAGATCAGGCCTCAGGTAATTGATCCAGCGGAGGCGGCAGCTCTTCCCGCACCGCTGCAAGCCCGCATTCCTCGCCACGTCGCTCCAACAACCTTGCCCGTTCCTGAGCATGTAGTTCATCAGCTTCTCGTCCTCCTCCGGTGACCACAGTCCTTTCCGCAGCTTGCTGTTTCCGTCGACGTTGGTGCTGTCGCCGGTCAGCTCATTCTTCCTCATCATGATGGCCGGATCCTGTTTCCAGATCTCGTTGCAGTGGGATCGGTCACTTCATGCGGATGGAGGGAAGAGGTAAGAATATATATTCACAGTTGAGCAGGAAAGATGGAAGAGAGAGAGAGAGACGTAGTGATGATGATGGTGATAGCTGTGAACTTTGCTTAGAACACGGAGAAGGGAATAGTGAGGACGCCACTGTTTCTGTTGTTAGGTCGAACAGGTAACGATTTGGACGTCGACATTGGAAGCCTCCACTTATCTCTCTCTCTCTTCTTGTCTTTGACTCCAGTTCTTGTCTTTTTCGATGCATTTACCTTCACTCACAAGGTAATCTGGAAGGGACGAGAGAGACGAAGAGAGAGAATGAGAGGAGAAATAAGATAGTGAGGGAGAGAGAGAAGTGAATGTATTGTGGTGGAAGCCAAACTATTTGCTTGGACTTCACATAATCTCCTCTTTTCTCTTCTCACCTCTCTCTCTCTCTCTCTCTCTCTCTCTCTCTCTCCTTCGCTGTCATCATGAATATGGATTTGAAAGAGATGAATGGAATAGAATATGTGTTATTGCAAGCCTTTGCATGTAGTCTACGCATGCAATTCATTACTGCCCATGCATGCGTCTTCCTTGCATGAAATGTGAGTGCTGTTTTGTGCACGCTAGAAACACACTTGTCTCATCTCCATCCACGTAGAGATTTATAGAACAAACCTCGGTTCATTTTCTCAATCATCAGCTGTGTGATATCTCAATTTACTTCCACATTTAATTTAAGTGTAAACATCTTAGACTTATTGGGTCAATTCTTCCATTGAACATGACCTACAAAACATATTATAATAGATTATGAACGAACATTATGAGATGTCTAAACTAAAAAAAGGATAAGTTTGGAGGCATATCGTAGCATGAAGCCATCGTTGGTTGGCACTCACATGCATATTGATTCTAAACTTTGTTCGGCTTATATGGGGAGAAGATTATGGCGATCCGATTGAATATCATTACACATATTGGAGAAGAATGGATTGATTTATGAGCTTAGATAGAGTCTATCAGTTGAAGTGTCATGGATCCGTGGCTCAGGCTTATCATATTGGCGAATTAGTTGTCCTATTCGATTAGATTATAATAAACAATCTCATAGCGTATCCAATATTGAATAAAGTGAGGAGATCAGGAAGGAAATAGATATCTTCCTATGTGGATAAAGGCATTTCATGCGTGGAACAAAGACATCATGTTTTCAAAGTAGAAAAGATGATGATATTTTAGTCTTATAATGGATATTAAGTAAAAATTAAATTGATTTATATCGTTAGATGGATCGATTATTATTTACTTGAGTTTAAACATCTTAAATTAATTCTCTCGTCAGATGAAATCAGAAGCTTCTACGGCGAGTTCTGTAGAGGTTGGTTGAGAATGTCTCATCCAGGCTTTAGCTCACTGGTTGGTCAAGTTGTTTCTTACAATCTGAGCAATGTGGATTCTAAATCTTTTACCGAGTTAGTCTTCTTCTTCTTCTTCTTCATATCTCGCAAAAAGTAGGAAAAATCAGGAACCTATTCATTGTTTCAGGTACTGAAAATTGAAAGCTTGGTAATGTCATCATGGGGGTGTATATGTATAAATATATATATGTATAGATATACATATATATATGTATACATATAAATATATATAAATATATATATATGTATATATATATACACATATATATGTATATATATATATATGTATACATATATACACACACACACACACATATATATATATATATATATATATATATATATATATATATATATATATATATAAATATATACATATATATATACATACATATATATATACATATATATATATAACATACATATATGCATATATATATATACGTATATATACATATATACAAATATATATACATACATATATATATACGTATATATATATATATATAACATACATATATAAATATATATATATATATAACATACATATATACATATATATATTATATATATATATATATATATATTATATATATATATATATGTTTGTTATATATATATATATATATTCATATAT